AGTCTAAATTTTTTGTTCTCTGCAGCATGATGGTCGAGAACGCAAGCAGGGGTGGTTCCTTGATGAGATACAAGTGACAAATCCTCGCAAACCACAAACATGGACGTTCCCTTGCTACCAGTGGCTGTCACTGTATGAAAGTGATTGTCAAGTGCGACGGAGTCTGAAACCTCTGGTTCATAAAAAGGCTGAAAAAGTTGGTACGTCCTGCGTAAACTGCATACAGTTGTACATGTTACGTTCATACACTACATGTACATGTTCATGTAAATCTTGTGCCCAATTGAAAGTTTCTTTTGATGTTTTACAAACCACTGAGACTGATTAATCAACTGGTACATACAGTATATGCATGTAGAGATACATGTAACTATATACATTTTTTTGTTTTGTATAATCTTGTGGTGTGTTACATGTAATATATAATGTGTTGTGTTGATAATTTGGAAAATTATGATCTTTTTATGTCCCTTGGGGGGAGACCCCCATGTAAAAAGGACAGGGATACTAGTTGGAAATTTTGAATAGAACCCCTAAGAGGTATCAAGATCCTGTTTTGTGGGTGTGGCTTGAATTCTTTTCACCTCTTAGAGATACCAATTCTAAGACAACACATTATCCCTTGTCATTTTTTTCATCTTAATACCCTAACAAGTATTGCAAAAGCTCCCGCTGTGGACCTTTTGAGGCTGAACGCCCCAAGAGGTACCGAAACCACATTTTTTAACCCTTAAAAGGTATAATGAGCACCCCTGTCCTTTCTGTATGGGAGTTCGCTCATTGGTGTACATGTACGTCATTCTGAGTGAACACAAATTGTAGCTACAATGTACAGGTACATGTATGATTCTGATGAGCTGAATGTAAGATCAAGTTTTATCTTGAATAATATAAATGCATGGTAGCTGCCATTCTCAGTCATGTTTGTATTTGACAGTTTATGTGATAGAAGTGTACACTGGTGACAAGGCAGGTGCAGGAACAGATGCTCATGTGTTTGTTACTTTGTATGGCAAGACAGGACAGGCTCCTAAAACGCAGCTCATCAGCAGGTGTGGTGGCAAATCTATAAAGAGTAGCAACCAACTGGCATAGACACCACAAACTACAGTACTTTATTTAGTGTGATTGTCTGGGTGAGGGTCGTTCTGAAAAGGACTGTTGTTGGTGACTGACATTTCGACAACCTGAGAGGAAGTCATCTTCAGAGTCAAGTGAATAGTGTTTGTCAGTTGATGGTGCCTTGATAGTATTGGCAGTAAGACTCATGCAAAGTTTGTCAGCAGTCATTGGTCGGTTTCGATCTGTCTGTTGTTAGTCAAATTAAGTCGCCCTGTTAGAGGTCCATCTGTTGGTTTTGTTTATGCCGTGAATAAGTTTTTTCAACTTTGTAAGGTGCTGCTACATGTAGTTGTTGACATCTGTTACTTAAGAGGCATTTGTTCTTTGTTAGTGTAGCTGCTTTCCAGAGTCAGTTGTTGAAAATAGTTTGTACTGTAGGTTAAACATTGAGCAGACTCTCAGTCAATGCTTTCTTTCGTCAGTTGACGATCATATTGCTGTACATCATCAACTGAAAAACCAGTCACTGTCAACCAATGCACAACTACATGCACAAGGTTTCCCAACCTAGTTAATTTGTTCAATTTTGCAATCCACAGGACTGATGATGCATTTGAGCGCAATAAAAAAGATGTGTTCAAGATTAAGACAACTGATCTTGGGCTTCTGAAAAAATTGATGTGAGAACTTAAAATTATTGTTACCTACAGTCTAGTTATGAAAATATAAAATGTACTACATGTATGCACATTCCAGTTATTATAAATAATGCAGTGACCCTGAGCTTTTACTGTGTTCCTGTGCAAGACGCTTTACTCTAACTTTGCCTCTCTGCACCCGGTTGTACATGTACACTGTACAGTACATTGTATAGAGGTAATTGGGTACTGGTGGACTTACCAGATGTAACCTTGCAATGGCTAGACCAGCATGCTGCATAACATCCTAAGATTGGGACGCCAGGGGTTGGTGGTTAGAAGTGAAATGCTTTTTGTCACTTATACATGCAATGCGTTGACACTGTACATGCACAGAAATAGATCAATAATATTTGTCAATGATTTGTGTTATTAAGCTTCAACCCCAGCCCATTGCAAAGCAAAAACTGACTTTTAAGTACCAGAACCCTAACTGACTCTCTGGCATTGTCAAAAAACAGCCCCAGTGCTGGGCAAAGTGGAAAGGTTGTATATCTAGTGGAATTGAGATTGGATAATAGGGCATACGTGGAAACGTTAAGGGATTTCTATTAAGAATTTCAAATACCACCAAGAATTTGAAATACATATCCATGCAGGACAATGATGAGTGTTGTTTAAACTAGTGTTTCTTTTTTTTTTTACCTTAGTGTGGAGCATGATAATTTTGGTTTTTCAGCTGGATGGTTTCTAGACAAGGTACATGTATTATAATTGCCTTATGGATAGTTAAGTTTTAGGCTTATTTTAATTGAAACTTTCATTCAAACTGTTTTAGCTCAATGGAAATAAAAGGAATAGGTAAAAATAACCTGCAAGTACTAAATGTTTCCAGGACATTTGAGTGTGGCCATTTTAACCAGGATAAGGTACATGTACAATAGTAAGAGTGTACTGTGATGGCCCAATGGTTAGCATGCTGGACTCTTCATCAAGTAATTTGTGCTAGATCCCTGGCCGGGGTCACCATGTTGTGTTCTTGGGCAAGACACTTTACTCTCACAGTGCCTCTCCTTATAATTACCTAGGTGTACAAATGGGTAC